CACTGTTGTGGCCTCTCCCATTGCGGAGCACAGGCTCTGGACGCACAGGCTCAGCGGCCATGGCTCACGGGCCCAGCCGCTCCACAGCACGTGGGATCATCCCGGACCAGGGCACGAACCCGTGTCCCCTGCATCGGTAGGCGGACTCTCAACCACTGGGCCACCATGGAAGCCCTGAATGCTCATATCTTTTTAGCACCAGATAATATTCCTTATCTGGATATAACACAATTTTTTTTTAATCCATTCACCTACTAAAGGATATCTTGGTTGCTTCCAAGTTTAGGCAATTATGAATAAAGTTGCTGTAAACATTCCTGTGCAAGTTTTTGTGTGGACATAAGTTTTCAGTTCATTTGGGCAAATATCAACATTGCTGGATCATATGGTAAAAATAGTCTTAGCTTCATAAGAAACTGCCAAACTGTTTTCCAAAACAGCCGTACTATTTTGCATTCCCACCAGAAATGAATGAGAGTTCCTGTTGCTCCACACCCTCACCACCATTTGGTGTTGTTCAGCTTGAATTTGAAACAAGAAATCTGGGGAATTTCTTGGTGGGCCAGTGGTTAGGACTCTGTGCTCTCACTGCAGGAGTCCAGGTTCGATCCCTGGCCGGGGGACTAAGATCCTGCAAGTCGTGAGGCACAGCTTAAAAAAAAAAAGGAAAGAAAGAAAAGAAAGAAAGAAAGAAAGAAAGAAAGAAAAGAAAGGAAGGAAGGAAGGAAGGAAGAAAGAAAGAAAGAAAGAAAGAAAGAAAGAAAGAAAGAAAGAAAGAAAGAAAGAAAGAAAGAAAGAAAAGAAAGAAAGAACTCTGAATCCCTCACAAGCTGACAGTAGTCTCTGTAGTCTCACGTTTGCTGATTGGATTTCTCTCCCTATGTGCAAAGCTGCTTAGGAAGCCACATGAAAACCAGCAGGTTGCTTGGCAAACAGGAAGGCTGAGCAAGAGGAATTACCTGGATACTCTTCATGGCTGGTATCAGTCCTGGTGGCCTGTGTCCTCAAATCAACTCTTTGGCTTTGTGAGCTGGAAAAGAGATGTTATTTTTCTCATTTCTAAGCTTCTTATTGGTTCATCAATTCTCACACTGATTGTGACTTTCTATACAAAATATAATCAGACCGGGGGGCCATTCCTTCTCTTTCAGGCAGAGATGTTTAACCATTTTTGTGCCATGGACCTCCTTGACTATCTAGTAAAGCCTACAGGACCCCTTTCCTGGATCCCTTTTTGGAATAATGTTTTTAAATGCATAACATAAAATGAATGGGATTACAAAAGAAACCAAATACACATAGCAACATATAAATTGTGATATAGTAATGTACACTTCTTCATTAAAATATTAATTAACATGATCTAATGGTGAGTTTAATAGCTACAGTAATTTTGAAAAGATAATAAGTGTTAAAGGTACTCCAAGACATATGTAACGGCTTTTATATGGTTTGAAAATATCTGAGATTTTTACTGCTGACAGAGTCATAGGTACTGCTGATATTACTGTATTTGTTGTTTGCATTCAAAATGGAATGGAATGCTAAATTTCAATTATACGTTAGGAAAAAGAGATATGTTAAATTTTTCCCATGCGTGTTCATTGAGCCCCTGACTTTTACCCTCGGGCCTCCAGATTCACAACCCCTGCTTTAAGCATATCTTTGCCTGCCTCTGTTGTATGTGGTTTTACCATTTCATTTTCTCCTCTTTCCAAGTTCTTACTTGCACAGGAGCTTCTCTTCCAGGAAGCCTTCTCAGACTCATCTGAGCAGGTCCCTTTCCTGTGATTCCTTCCCAAGCACCATGAACTTCTTTTTTCTGATTCTCCTCACAGTTATAACATAGCATTTATTTGTATGTTTTTCCTTTTAAAAATATTAAATGTAACTTTTTCATGATAATATAAACAATATGTGTTCATTGCAACAATTTTGAACATTACATAAAAGGACAAAGGAGACAATAAAAATCACCCAAACCCCAGCTCTCTAAGATAGCCACTGTTCATATTAGATCAGAATAAACTTGCCTTTATCTCTCCATGTGATGTCTTGATACCTGTTGATCTCCCCTGCTAGACTGTATCCCTACAGGGGCAAGAAACTTGCTGGTATTAAAGGAAAAATAAAATCTAAGGGCCCAGAGGTTGAGCACTGAATGGATTTTAAAATTTTTTTCTTCTTTGCCAAGAGTCTGATCCATCACAAAATCTGGACTATGGGGGATGAGGATGGGGGAGGGAAAATGAAGTAAGTCTTTTATTTTTATTTAATTTTTTTACAAGTCTTTTAAAACATTAATTAATTATATATATATTTTTTATTGTTTATTTTTGGCTGCCTTGGGTCTTCGTTGCTGCGCACGGGCTTTCTCTAGTTGCAGAGAGCAGGGGCTACTCTTCGTTGCAGTGCGTGGGCTTCTCATTGCAGTGGCTTCTCTTGTTGCAGAGCACGGGCTCTAGGTGCACAGGCTTCAGTAGTTGTGGCTCGCAAGCTCTAGGGTGCAGGCTCAGTAGTCGCGGTGCATGGGCTTAGTTGCTTCGCGGCATGTGGGATCTTCCCGGACCAGGGCTCGAACCCATGTCCCCTGCATTGGCAGGTGGATTCTTAACCACTGCGTCAACAGGGAAGTCCTGAAGTAAGTCTTTTAAAAGCAAAAACCCACTCATCATCTCTGTCCCATATTAGCTATCGAATTAGTGCTGGGTTTTTCAGTTGGGCAAATACTGGGCTGTGCAGGGTGCCCAATCTGGGCTTCAGGTGTCCAGCTGCCTTCTCTGGTACTCAGGTCTGACCCCTGTCAGCAGGCTGGGTGGCTGGTTCAGTCTTCATCACTGATGTCTGCTCTCCCACAGTGCCTGGCATGTAGGAGATGCTCAGTAAATACCTGCTGAATTTCTATCCCCTTTATTCCCTACATGTTCCACTTTGTGATACTCATTGAAAGCCCCTCCTTTATCTCTTTGACACTGCCCACTCCTGGTTATTTCAAGTAATCGACTTTCCTTCTTTCCTCTCTGAGATACTTTGAGCGCTCCTCATTAAGTTTTTCTATACCACTGAATCAGTGGTGATTCCATATCATTCTTCATTCATTTGAAATCTACGAAGCGGTTACTTCATACAGGGCAACAGGCCGAGCTTCTCTCCCTGAAGTCTCCCGGGTAACTAAGGAGGCTGTTTGCTGGCTGCTAAGAACTGAAGAGGGAAATTAAAATTAGAAGTTCTGATCGTCCTCAGGCCTTCCCAGATCACTCTCTCTAAAAAGCGTCTCTTCTCCCAAACACACCATGCTCTATTTCAGCCCCTTGTGAGCTTTCTTCATAACACATCTGCACTTGTCAGTATTTTCTATTTACTTGGCTTTTGTCCTTCTCCCCAACTAAAATAACAACTCATTGAGAGCAGAGACAGTGTGCCTGCTGTCATATCTCCACCTCCCAGGACACAATAGATGGCATATCACAGGTGCCCAGTAAACATTTATTGATGGAACTTAAAATGAATGAATGATTAAGTAATTTCTCATACAGAGTCCTCATTCTCATCATAGGCTAGGAGGCTTCCCGGCTGGGTCTGGGATTTCGTGTGCATGTCTGTCCTCATTGCAGAAAACCGATCTGCACTAATGTCTGCCTAACCCCTTCCACTTTCCCCTCTCCTCTTCATCACGGGTGTTCTAATAATTCAGCGTCGTTTTTGTGCTCATGACGTATTTTCAATTCCTGAATATTTGGTTGTACACTTGAAGAAATTAAAAGATTCAAAACAAGGCTAAAGACACGAACAGTGATTACAAAACAATGTTTCACAGTAATTACAAAATTATCTACTGTTCCCATGGTGGTTATCATCACTTTACTTCCCTGACCATACATCTACATACATCTATCCATATTCTAGCATTAGATGTAACTTCTTTAGTATTTAAGGTATTTCCAGCAAGTTGTGCAGACACAAGTTGTGTCCACACCAAGTTGCAATACTCATTGACTGACACTGTTGTGGTGATTGTATGTTACATTGTAGCAAAAATACATGTTATTCGTGATTCTGAACTCACCCACCTATGCAGGGTTTGCAGTTCACCACTTGCACGTTATGGTGCCGGTCTATTTTTTTTTTTTTTTTTTAATTTGGCTGCGCCAGGCGAGCTCCTTAGTTGCGGCATGCGTGTGGGATCTAGTTCCCTGACCAGGGATGGAACCCGGGCCCCTTGCATTGGGAGCACGGAGTCTTATCCACTGCACCACCAGAGAAGTCCCTGGTGCTGGTCTATTGACTATCAGTCTTCTGATGCTTGGCTTGACTCAAATGCAAGAGAGCTGCTGTTGACACATATGGGTTCCTCTATTAAATATGTACCTATAAAGTGAGGGTGTGTAACTCTCTGTACATGTGGGCAGTGGTTGCACATCTCCTATTGAGTGTATTTCTAACTGTTAGGTAGAGCCGGGTATTTCTTTCTAACTGTGTAAGTAGCAAAGGGTGGATAAAGGCAACTAAAGTAAGCCAAATTGGCCCCGGTCAAAGCAGGAACTGTACAAAGAACAGGCACAACAGATCTGCCACACACAATAATCAGAGTGAAAGGAGATTAAAAGCCAAGATCAGGGCTTCCCTGGTGGCACAGTGGTTGAGAATCTGCCTGCCAATGCAGGGGACACGGGTTCGAACCCTGGTCTGGGAAGATCCCACATGCCGCGGAGCAACTGGGCCCGTGAGCCATAACTACTGAGCCTGCGCATCTGGAGCCTGTGCTCCGCAGCAAGAGAGGCCGCGACAGTGAGAGGCCCGCGCACTGCGATGAAGAGTGGCCCCCGCTCGCTGCAACTAGAGGAAGCCCTCGCACAGAAATGAAGACCCAACACAGCCAAAAATAAATAAATAAATAAATTAAAAAAAAAAAAAAGCCAAGATCAGCCAAGTGTCCAGGAGAGCTCCCTGCAGACTCCACCCACCCACTGTCTCCTAGGAAATCGACCCTTGATGGCCTTCAATTTTAATGAGGTGGTACCAAGACATAAGGAAAGAAATAGTCAACTGAGGCCGGATATTCTGTGGTCAAGGTGTGGTGGAGATGAGGGCAGAGCAAAGAGGTGTTTGAGCAGGAGTCTAACACTGGACAGAACAAAGGACACAGAAGACAATGACAGGGTTGTGGTGCGTATGGGTTAGACTGCCCACCACATCGCTGAGGTCAGCTGACTCCGGTTAGGAGTACCCCGAGAGGAAGGATTACACAAGGGTTATTAAGTGGCAATAAAACAGAAGTATTTATATTCATGGCTCTGACCTTTCACTAGGGGTCATCCTAATCTTTATTTATTTATTTGGCTGCACCGGGTCTTAGTTGTGGCATGCGGGACTTTCCTTGTGGTGTGTGGGATATTTAGTTGCGGCATGCAGGATCTAGTTCCCTGACCAGGGATCGAACCCCAGGCTCCCTGCATTGGGAGTGTGGAGTTTTAACTGCTGGACCACCCGGGAAGTCCCTCACTAGGAGTGATCTTGATAGTTGGGTTCCTGCTGGGCTCTAGATGATGATCTTGAGAGTCAGAGCCAGTCATTAAGCACCACTGATATTCCAGGTCTATCCCACATCACCAATGTTTTGTTATTCAAGTGTATTAATACCTCAGTAGTGGCTTAAACAAGCTCCAGCCTCCCCTACCTCTTCTTACTTCTTCTCACTTACCTATGATTTTACATCTTATAAGGTCTTCAATTAAAAAGGATGACCTAAAAGAGTCTGTGAAACCCAAAACAGTTTTACTTCTATACATGTAAGCGCTGGTTTAAGACTTTTTTCTGGGGAGATTAAAATGACAGTAATAGCATAAAATGAGATCTCATAATTTTCTGTAGGGTTGGATTTCAATTAACACTATCTCTGTTTTTGTTTTTTTTTTTGCGGTACGCGGGCCTCTCACTGTCGTGGCCTCTCCCGCTGCGGAGCACAGGCTCCAGACGTGCAGGCCCAGCGGCCATGGCCCACGGGCCCAGCCGCTCCGCGGCATGTGGGAT